CCCCCCCCCCAAACCCAACAACATACAACTGCATCTATAATGCTAAAACTAAAAGTAATCCATGTCTAAATAAAAATTTCCGTGCTAAGGAATCGGACGATCAGATCATTTTATGTATGACCTTTCTTATTAAAGGAAATATTTCTCTAGCCAACTCCAACTCGGTGAGAGTCAAAGAAATGTTTTCAGACTCCAGACTGCTAGCAGATTGTAAAGAAAAATTACAATGAAACAAGCCAAGGGCAAGCATGAAAGTTCATACTCTTTTTTTTCTAACTTGCTTGTAAGTAAAATCAATTGCAATGCTAACCTCCTTCAGTTGTCCAAAGAGCTGTTAAAGTTGGACAAGTGCAAAAAGGCCAGTAGGAACTAGGAATATGCAATTGCTGGAAAACTGAACTCTGAACAGCCTGTATTAACTGTATACATATGTAAATAAAATGGATCTTCTGTCCTGTACTGTACTGTACTGTATATAAAATAATATAATATATCTGAATATAAACATTTCCCGTCAGTGGACTCTTTAAAGAAAATGGAGGTAACTTTATATTTCTTTATTAACTAAAAAAGGCTTGTGCATTAGTTTATACTTTTTTTATAGATATAAACTAACGCCTCCCGGATGCCGCCCCCTGGGGGGAAGCTGCCCCTCTGTGTGCACCTCCTACAGATTTTTTTTCTTGGCAGGTCTGCCTATTATATTTATTTTTTTATTTGTAGTCTTTATTTATAATGTATGATTTGATAATTTGAACGAAGCGGCTATTCGGACCCGGAAAAGCATGAGGGGTTGGGTTTATTAAAAAATATTTAAAACAGTATTGTTGGCTCTGTAAGACAAAATTTAGGATCAAAGTAAAGATAATTGAATGGACATATGTTTGTAATTTTACTTCTTCTGTTTAACTAAAATAAACTACCGTACCACAAATGATATCCGAATAGCCATTCATTTATCATTTTCATTTAGTCTAAAGGGACCCAGTTCCAAATAGCGGCAATGTCACACTATGTGCTGTGGTGTACCCACTAAAAGCACATTCTAACAATCAGCTTTTTATAATTAATACTTAGGTGCCAATGACATTGTGAGTATAAATTATAAGTAACATAAATATGTATGTATATATGAATAATATGAAATATCTTTACATGAGCAATTCTTACTCAAATAATGATCTGTTCCATGAAATCTAACCACCTTTTATAAATGAGATTAAGTTAATTTTGTACAATTATTTTTTTTCAGAGGCGATGGAGCTGCCCTTTTCAGAAAAAATATTTTTTTCAATAGTTCGATACATGCGAGAGATTTGTAAGAAACATGTAAAATTTGATGACTTTGCATCAGTAAGTGGCTTCCTATGCTTCGACATAGACGGTAAAACACAGCATAGATTTGTTGTGAGTGAAGTCGTTGATAGAACAATCGGTTGTGAGGGGAACAGCAGTGGCCTTGGTGTAAGTACGATTGAAGGAATTTTATAGTTTCATTCTATGTAATTTAAACCAGCATTTCCCAAAATGGCAGGTCGCCACGGAAGCAAATTCCAGGTTGCAAGAAAAAAAAAAATTGTGAAAATCTAGGCATTAAGTATGCCTTGACCATCATGTTCCAATTCCAAATGGAGCATATTTTCTTTTGTGTTAAATGTTTTTTTTTTTGGTTGATATGATTCAGTAAATAGGTAATAAGACATCCTGAAGACATTATTAATTATGATTCAGTAAATAGGTAATAAGACATCCTGAAGACATTATTAATAAGATAAAAGATATCTTTACAGATATCCATTTTGGAGATGGTAGATAAATATGAACGAAACTGTGCCAGTGAGGTCATGATAAAAGAGTGTTGAAGTTCTTCCTTTCAAATCTATTTAAATATATTACCTAGTTGACATGATCAATAGAATAACTGTGTGCAATGAAGTTGCTAAACATTATTATTTTTTTATGATTTTCATTTAATTTTTTTTGTGACTGGAAGAATCAGTTTATTTATATAAATTGGTGACAAATCTTTGGCTGATGTCAATTTTGTCATCTCTCCTGCCACACTGTGCAATGGATATAAGCTTATGGGGGGTAAATTTATTACCTTAATAATGAAATCATCTTTTAAAATAAAAATAAAACAAATTGTTATTTTTATTCAATACATTTTAAGATAGTTTCTTGAATCAGTAACAGTAATAATTAATTTATTTATTTTCATTCTAATGTTTTTTGTTTAAAGTTTGGATCTGTCAAGAGAACTTAATAATCAGGAGACAGTTCTACATGTAGAACTTAGTAATCAGGAGACAGGGCTATGTGTAGAATTTATAATAATTAGGAGACAGTGCTATGCATAGACCTTATTAATCAGGAGGTAGTGCTACATGTAGAACTTTATGATTTAAAATAAGAACTAAAAATATTTGACATAAAATGCTTTAGAAATGTTCAAAATAATTTGATAGATTTGAAAATTGATAGATGTAAATGATAAGGTGACAGCATCAGTTGTTTTTTTTAATGTAATTTTGTCAGATCATAAATAAAATTTAATTATGTGTTGTTAAAATTATTTTTAAGGCATTGCATTGGAGTCATGTCAAAAAACTGTGCAATACAAGAAAAGAAGCCAAAAGAAACACCAGAGGCGTGTGTGGCTATAGTTCTCCCAAATTGAATGATCGCTGTTTAGAGTACAGGGAGATTCATCCAGTTCTACGGCATGGAAATACACTCTCGAGGAAGCAATCCACAATGCAGAAAAGTCTCAGCGGCCCAGTCAACCATTTACAGTTTTCTAGTGCTAGAAATAAAATGAATAACCGAACATTCACTCGTGAAAATTTTCAAATTAATGCATTGAAATTGAAAGAAGTTTTAAGTCCAGTAAAAACTTTCTCCAACTCCACAGTGAACATTTCAAACACTCATGATGATTTGGATGAAAAATGCATTTTAAACTCTGGTGATTTTGCCCAGCACCAGGACATTGAAGATAAAGATGCAGAAACGGGTGTTAACAATCACAATTTAAATAAATTGACCAAGAGAAATTACAGCAGCCAAAACCTTCTGTTGAACGAAAGTCATGGAGCCAAGGAACACAGAAGTAGTACCAACCTCAGGAAGACACATAGCAAGGATCTTTTGCCTTTAGAGAAAATACCATGTAAGAGCCCCGATGCTACACCGACACAAAGCTGTCCACCAAAACTCTCTAAACGTGAAGATTCGGATGTCAGCATTGGGTCAACCAGGCCAAAATATCTGGTGAAGCACAATGATGAACTTCTTTTGCCTTGTCCAAGGCTTCGTACGGTCATCACTCAGGATTGTATCACAGCACCAAGACAAAAGCACAGTGAGCTCAACATCAATCAAGATTCTAGCACAGCACCAAGACAAAATCACAGTGAGCATCACATCAATGAAGGTTGTGAAGAAAACACAGTGGTATCTAGCGCTCATATGTCTCTGCTCATTAACTCTATCATTACTGCCATCTCGCGGCCTGGTGTACAAACTGTGACCACTGAACATGCAGTTAGCCCTTTAAAGGAGGATTTCTGTAAGGATATGGACAATGAAAGTATGAAGAGCACAAACTCTCATGTCACACTGAGCAGTTCACATACAGCAAGCCTTAAACACTTTTTTGAAGCGGCTGTACCTGTCAAGGAGATCCCCGAGCCCACAAAGCTAGAACCATCCAGGAAAAAAAGCTGTGAAAGTCAACAGATGAGTGACTCATCATCCATTGCTAAGAAAAGTGAGTACAAATTAAGTTAAAGTTTAATACAGCTTCTTTTCCAAAAGTGAGTACAAATTAAGTTGAAAATGAATAAACCTATTATTCCAAAAGTAAGTACAAACTGTGGTATATTAATATAGCAACTCATATCAAAACTGACTTTACATTGTGTGAGAAAATCAAAATTAACTATATATTGTGTGAGAAAATCAAAACTGACTATACATTATGTGAGAAAATCAAAATTAACTATATATTTTGTAAGAAAATCAAACTTAACTATATATTTTGTAAGAAAATCAAACTTAACTATACATTGTGGTAAAAAATCAAACTTAACTATACATGGTGTGAGAAAATCAAACTTAACTATACATTGTGTGAGAAAATCAAACTTAACTATACATTGTGTGAGAAAATCAAACTTAACTATACATTGTGGTAAAAAATCAAACTTAACTATACATTGTGTTAAAAAAATCAAACTTAACTATACATTGTGTGAGAAAATCAAACTTAACTATACATTGTGGTAAAAAATCAAACTTAACTATACATTGTGTGAGAAAATCAAACTTAACTATACATTGTGTGAGAAAATCAAACTTAACTATACGTTGCGTGAGGTTTAATATTGCTATAGCGACTTCTACCCGGGTGAGAACAAAGTATGGTGACAATTAATGATTAAAATTTTCTTTCCAAGCTTTTCAGTCTCTTGCTATCTTATATAACTCTTCCCAACTCTTTCCCATCTTTATAACATTACATATTTGTTGACATGTCTTTGCCAGGTGTTCCTGGTCTTCTTGATCCTTGAGAGTTCCATACCAGTTCTTGTCTTGGTCTTGTTATATTTGGCATGGGTTTTCTCATGGTATGACCTATCCATCGCCTTCCCCAAAGTTTTTACTTCACTAGGATTTATGTTGTCATTTCCCTCACTGATGTGTTTGGGATTTTGTCGAACCACTTGATGTTGAGGAATTTTAGTAGGCAACCACAAAGCAAATTTAGCTTCTCTTGCCTTCCATATTCTTGCCTTGATATCTGCCTCTGATCGCCCATCCTTGGTAGCTATACATCGTTGATGGGAACAGTTATCTACTTCTCCTAGTGCTTTGCTTCTTATTGCCACCACTCCTGTGCTATTAGCAATTGTTAATTGAGCTAAGCTAAAACGCTGTATGTAGAGACTGTCATGTTGTAATATTTGATTAGTAAATGTGCATTTTAATATTAAAAAGTAAAGAATTACTAATCTGTTCAGAGATTTCAGATATAATAAGAAAGAAATTAATTAGAAACTAGAGTCTTTCTATCTCCAAAAAATACAAAACACTCGGGCGGTTGCCCCCTTCCCCCTTCTTTGGTGAAAAACTGTTCCCGTTTCAAATGATCACTTATGTTTATTTAGCCTAACATTTTTTATCTTAACAAACAGTGAATGAAAGAAAACAAAGTCCAGCAAACACTTCCGCTATAGAAATCACATTTATCTCCCCCTCCTTCCGCAACTTGATTCCACAATGTTTGTCGGTGATAAACTGATCTAAATATCAATGAAGTGTTGATCAAGATAAATTACTTCCAATTATTTATTTTAGCTATTTAATTTATCTGCAGAATCTCGAGTCTTCAAATGGATGAAAATATTCAAACGAGGTAATGCCACGTTTCTAATTGTTAAATTAAAAAAAAAGAAAATTCAACTTTTTGTTTGTTGTTGATGATATCTGTATGAAATTAGTTTTTACTTTGTTTACTCATGTAATGTACACTGTTATCAAATTAGTTCTACCCAAATATTACGAATCAGGTCTCACTTAAAAGGTTCGTTGGCTTCGTTGTCCAGGGGTTTAATTATATACACACTTCACAAGCCATTTTTCTCATATTAAATATCTTCATTACATAATAATAATAATAATAATTAGTGGTCTTTTGTAGCGCGGTACCCCAGCCTCGGGCTGGGCTCACCGCGCTGTACATAAAAATATTATCAAAAGAGACATGATCATGACACATAAAATCAAATACAATTTGATTGCTCATAAGACCACAACACACAAAATTCCATCACACCCCCTTTTGCCAATACTCACAAAGCATTAAACATTTAATAACAACATCTACCCAAATACTCTCTAAACAACATGCAATTACACAATACATACAAGTCCTTAACAGTTTACACATGTCATGTACACTGTTATCAAATTAGTTCTATCATTGTTTACTCATGTGATGTAAACTGTTATCTACTAAGTTCTGCCTTTGTTTTCACATGTCAAGTACACTTTTATCAAGCTGTGTGTTTAAATGACAGTAAGAATCACAGAGTTTGGGAAAGTTTTTTTGCTCTTCACTCATGCTTTGATTTACTGTATGTTTAATATTTCCCTGTTTATAGTCGAAAACATTGCAATATTCTAATATCAAACTTTTTTTTTCAGATCAGCTGAGCAATAAATGTAAAGATAACTACCAGCATGATTAAGACATCATTATTTAAGACAAAAAGCTATTAAATGATTACCGGTACTCAAGTATTATATTCAATGAACTGTCATCAAGAATGAGGTCAAGCTACTAGATATGTGAATAATAAATTGTCATCAAAAATGAGGTCAAGCTAATAGATATGTGAATAATAAACTGTCATCAAGAATGAGGTCAAGCTAACAGATATTTGAACAATAAATTGTCATCAAGAATAAGATCAAGCAACTAGATATGTGAACAATAAACTGTTATCATGAACAAACTCTAGCTGCATGATGTTTGAAATTCTTGTCATGTGACTAAATCAAATGATTGAGTGAAATACATAGACACAGTGTTACCTGGGGTGAGCCACTTTTGTAACATCTCTGAAAAATTAAAGTCTGCACATTAACCCAGATGTTGAATTTTGTTTGTTAGATTTATTCCAAACATAAATTTAACAATTCAAATATTGATCGCCTTAAATGTTCTCATATTCTGCACAATTCATCGTGATATCTCCATTTGTAGATGTTGTTTCCAATCGTTGTAAGGGGCTGCTCTGCAGAATACAGATTTTAAACTTGATCTAGATATTTGAATTTATTTTATTTTACTTTTAAAATCAAGACATTGCACAATACATTGTGTGCTGTCACTGTCCTAAATAGAAAAGACATTATTCAAATTTGTAAACATTTATTTTTAAGTAATAAAAATGTTTACAAAAGTATTTATGTAGTTGAAATAGGTTTAAAAAGTTATTAAATTTCAAAATATAATATACAGAATGTTTAATAAAAAAATTTAGTTAAGATTATGTGGTCTAACTATAGAAAGAAAGTAATTTTTATAATATAGTATTAATAATACCGGTATACCAATTATAGACAGACACTACTTAATTTCTTTGTCACAAAGTTCATTACATGATGCTAAAACTCTTTGTAGTAATCATTTCAGAATTTTTTTCTCTCAAATGACATCACCTATTAAAGATGCTAAATTTTTAGTGAATAGAATAAATGCGTTTGTTCATAAAGTACAGCAGCTGGTCCCTATAGCAGTTTTAGTAAACATTTTTTGGTGAATAAATTTTGTAGACATTTTTTAAGTGATTACATCACAAGATGAATTTTATGACAACACTAATAGTGACATGGATTATTCCTGTCCATGGCTTTTGAAAACAGAATCAAGAATCTTGAATAAATCTTTATAATTAAATCTTCATGAACCTGATGTAATATTTGATAATCGACCAATTTTTTTAAAAAAACATACTTTTATTTTTAAATTTTCCATGTTGGAAATGAAGGCCAGTTTGAAAAACAGTTTACAAAAAACGGTCTACAATATTTGGGGTATTTGTGATGCCTGCTGTAGAGCTAACATTTGAATATTTTAAAACGTTTAATAAGAATTGACAAGGGCAAAAACTACCGTATATACTTGCATATATGTCACACCAGTGGATATGTCACACCAGTGGATATGTCACAACAGTGGATATGTCACACCAGTGGATATGTCGCACCAGTGGAAAGACCACACCCTTAGTTTGGGATTGTCAAAGTTGGTATTTTCGGTTGATCCGCAGATAGGTTGCACCCTCAGTTTGGGGGGGGGGGGAGAGGGTGTTAAAGGGCAATTTTCCACGGCAATATAACTCATTTGTTAAGCAGTCGTCACAAAATTGTTTCAATAACCACTTGAAAAATGAAAACAGTTGTAATTTTCGGTTGATCCGCAGATAGGTTGCACCCTCAGTTTGGGGGGGGGGGGGGAGGGTGTTAAAGGGCAATTTTCCACGGCAATATAACTCATTTGTTAAGCAGTCGTCACAAAATTGTTTCAATAACCACTTGAAAAATGAAAACAGTTGTCAAAAACCACGTGATCTTTAATAAACGTAAAAAGAAAAAAGCCGCAGTGTTATAGCCCTCTGCTCAAACGTCAATGAAATCGAGGATGAAAACGAATAATAATATATGAATTTTGTAAAAATGCCTTCTCTAAAGTGATTTCACGTCAATAATATAATATGCACACCCTGACTTCTACTTTAATATACATTTTTGGTGCGACTTGTACGCGAGTATTTACAGTTGCAGTATCTAATTAAATTGATATGTCATGAGAGCTACCACTACTAAAGTTCATTTTCCTGGGTGGGGTATTTGGCGAGGTGGAAGGGGGGGGGGGAGCGCAATGCTGAATGTACACGTCCTTGCTTAAAACTGCAATCTACCCCCACCCCCGTAGTGACCTCAAATCGGTTTACCCAGGACTTTCTGTGGGGTCACCGGCTGATGATACTCAGAGGAATGGTGTTTTTTTAAAAAATCGTTTCATTTTAAAATTTGCTTCTTAAAGTTTCAAATACAATTTCAATAATGGCCTTCAATATCTCGTTAATTTACATCATATTTTACAGAGCAATCTAATTTTAATATTTATTTATTGGCCAGAATTGACCTATATTAAAAAGTTTAAAACAAAATGTTTCTCAATTGTGGCTCACTGTGTTTCTATTTAAATATGTTCCCGATTTGAAATTTTGCCAACCTGAGTATAAAATATAATAGAGCCACTGAGCTTTATAATTCAACGCATTAACTGGACCAGTGCTTCCCAACCCGTGATACTCTAAACCCTGATTACGCATAATTTTTATAGTCAAGGGCGGAAAACGGCAAAAAAGATTTGTTTGCACCCGTTCATTTACCTGAAGCTCTATTTCCAAATATGATGGTGCGGTGGGGGATTTCTCATAAGTGAAAAGTCTAATCAGGGGGTACGTGAGAAGAAAGGAAGGCTGGGAGCCGCTGCTAGACAGTGGTCTTTGCTTAAAGCGACAATTTCTGACAATTTGTGACTAACATTAAAAAAAAGAATTTTTTTTTCCCCAAGAAGTTTTTAAAAACTCAATAAAAATCGACCCGCTTCAGGAAACTTGATTTCGGGCGTCCCATATGCACGCACCTCGAGACACAGTTAGCCATATGCACGCACCTGGAGACACAGTTAGCCATATGCACGCACCTGGAGACACAGTTAGCCATATGCACGCACCTCGAGACACAGTTAGCCATATGCACGCACCTGGAGACACAGTTAGCCATATGCACGCACCTGGAGACACAGCCATATGCACGCACCTGGAGACAGTAGGGTTTTATTAACATTTTGACGCTCAATGTGTTCTAGATGTAGGATTAATAATTACACTAATACCAATAGTAGTTTATTGCTCGTCTTTGAAATTTTGATGACTCACCGAAGCTCAATCACATCAGTTTTGATATTGTGAATTTAAATCTTTACTTTCTGTGGTAAGTCTACTTTAAACAAGATACGCAAGCAACAGCATTCAAGATGTGTGGAGGGATTATCCCGTAGAGCAGGGTTGAAAGCTTCTTAAGCTTAGATGACAAACGACAACAAACAACAGAACAGGAAAGTAACAGAACGTTTTCCCTATAAGCCTACATCAGCAGGGGCGTGGCTGGCGTTAGTGCAGCCCGGGGGCGTGGCTAGCGTTAGTGCAGCCCGGGGGCGTGGCTGGCGTTAGTGCTGCCCGGGGGCGTGGCTGGCGTTAGTGCTGCCCGGGGGCGTGGCTGGCGTTAGTGCTGCCCGGGGGCGTGGCTAGCGTTAGTGCTGCCCGGGGGCGTGGCTGGCGTTAGTGCTGCCCGGGGGCGTGGCTGGCGTTAGTGCTGCCCGGGGGCGTGGCTGGCGTTAGTGCTGCCCGGGGGCGTGGCTGGCGTTAGTGCTGCCCGGGGGCGGGACAAAAACATAGGCGCCGCCGTTCCAGGAAAAAAAAAACAACTACAGATGTGAAAAAATTCCTCCCGTGCATATGAAGAAAAATAACCGCCCGGAGCGGACTGCGCCCCCATGACACTGACCAGCAGGCATACTAAACACTTACGTTGTCATTCATAAAGACTTTCCCACTTCACGCATGTCCATCTTGTATGTAGACAGGGCCGGCCCTACGCAGTGGCGTAGCGAGGGTGTTTGGCGCCCGGGGACAAGATTCGCGCCCGGGGACAAGATCCATTTTTAGCGCCCCTTTTCCTTTTTTCAACTCTCAAACCCATTATTCTCATCAATAAAATAATATGAAAGCACATTTTGGCGCCCCTAACTAGCTGGCGCCCGGGGAATCTGTTCCCCCATGCCCGGACCACGCTACGCCTCTGGCCATACGGTTGCTGGCGTCCTGGGTAAGATTAACTTTAGCACCCCTTTAAGGTAATAAAAATTATTACAATGCAAAACTAGAGGTTAGGTAATGACTTTGCTACCTAGTTTTTTAATTGTTTTTTTAATAAAAAAAAAAAAAATCCCCAATGAAATGTCAACTGATTGTAATTGGTCATGATGAATAAGTTGACAACAGGAACCCTATCTTTAAAGCCTTTAGATTCAGATCAGCAAGAACTCAATGCACAATTGTCAGCAGCGACTTTTCACGCCACTTCCTGTACACGAACGTACGACAGGAGATCGAGCTCAAGGTGTGCGATGTAGCGCTCAAATGGGACAAGCAACCGGTTTACCTGTGAGTCAAATTGGATCAATAGGTGAAAATGCGTAATTTTTTACAATACCTCTGCTCCGAGACAACCGCCAAGCTCAGTCTTGTGAAAAATTTGGCTTGCACGAGTTGGGACGCGGGCGCAAAAGAACGCTTAAACTTAGAGCTCTATTTCTGGGCAGTGTAAGGTCGGTGATGGATTACAGCATGTCCGTCCAATTCTTTGCAAGTAAGACAGCATTGGAGCAGTTGGGCCGAATCCAGAATTAGGCTCTGAGATTCATCTATGGTGCATTCAGGACAACACCCACAGCTGCTGTAGAGGTCTGGCCAATGTAAAACCGTTAGACATAAGGATGGGAAAAGCAATATTAAGTACCGTAGAGAGGTAGCGACGGCTGGACGAGAACGAACCGTCGTTCCAAATGCAGATCAACTTGATGGCGGGCAAGCGACAAAAGAGATCCTCATTTTTGCATCAAGTTCGTGGAACTTGAGAGGACAGTCGACCTGCCTCGCAATAGAGAACGTCTGACCATAATCCCAGTCAATCCGTCACATACGGAACCCTCACGTCCCTCCATACATTCGGCCTTGACCGATGCAGTTAATACGAAGCGTAGCCCTGGACATGTTCAGAAAGGGGCTGCCCTTGAGACTATGGATATGATCGCACACATACCAGTGAAAGTGTTCACGGACGGCTCTGCCAACCTGAGAGAAAGAACTGCTGGGTACGGTGCGCTCATACTGTATCCAGCAGGGGGACCACCAACTGAAGAGCTCTCGGGGTCCTGTGGGACTGCAGCATCAAACTTTGATGCGGAGCTCGAGGCTATACACCAGGCCTTGGAAAGAGAGT